GAATGCACCGGCAAGTCCGGTATGTTGCAGTCTGCGCTGTACGATGAAGCAAGGAAGCTCGAAAAGCTGTCCGCGGACAACCAGTGCAAAGGTGGGTTAATCTGTTACACACATAAAGATTTCAGCCATTTCTCAAGTGACCCCGATCATTTTTTTTGCCAGTATGAGGCTTACCAAAAGCAAAGATTTTAGCATACCTGCATCCGCCGCTCTCCAAGACGAGGAGAACAGCGTATACTTGTCTTAGTTTTAATTCAACGGACAAATACTTCTGAAACGCAGCAGACCCCCCTTTGCTCAAGAATTGAATTCAGCAGTAGCGTAAAAGTCCTTATCTGAAGAATGCAGGTCCTGCTGCTGCTTCTCAAACACCAACGAATTTATTTCGTATCATCAAACAACAAAAACAATCCGAGTTACTATATACGAAAGTAAATCAGCGCTTCCCGCCCACTCTCGGCTGTTGCGCTTTTGTCGGCTTCGGAATCTTCATCTTCGGCGCGGCGGCTTTCTTTTCCTGCAAACCCAATATTGTTGATTACACCTAAGCAAAAGCTTGTCGCGAACGGATCCAGTTTTTGAAGAAAACAACGACCAACGCAAAATCCATCCTTACAATCTCACTATCTGCGGATCACTTGAACTGTGACGTGTTACCCATTACACTACTGGTTCTCATACTTCGTTCAGTAACCGGAGCATTTGTACCCGACTTATACTACTTACATACCAAACTGTAGTTTATAATGTTGCTATCACAAAAAGCGCACAGCTTTCAGCTCTGGCCAGCTTACCGCCAGTTCCCGCAACAACGATACCCGATGAAAGAGCGCATGCAGTTAATTTAATAAAAATACTTCCCTCTCAGGAATCAGTCATCTGGACTGCACCGTTTTTAAAGCAACAACTGGTAAGTGCGAAACATAGCCATCCGCTAGGAACAAAAATCAAGTTGCAACAACGGCAGTAACGAATCGAAGGATGCATGAAGAATGCCTTCGTAAACACAAAGGCGACCAAACGCTTAGGCGGAAGATGGAGGCCACGAATAGCATTTTTCTTCTTTTTTCCTTCGCCTCTCTTACATTCCTTTCTGTTCCTTCTGTTCTCTGAACACTGCAACCGTCACACTGACGAGATCCAGTCGTGGTATTGAGCTAAGACGTATATGACGTAATGGACCGAAACGTCTTAACCCAGTCGTTTTTCCTACTATTTTCCTTTTTCTTTTTTATACACCCTCTTACTTTGGCACCCTAGATCAAACTGGACGCTACAATCGGCTTATTCCGCTTTATTATGCGTTTTGTGCTGTGTAACAGCAGTACAAAACGCATATTGTTACGGGGTTGTC